CAGGGAAGTCTAGGAATGGATATTCATGTTTCCGATCTGAATCTACTTACCAGGAGAAAATTAAGTCGACTTTTGGATCCACCTGATCCTATGGGCAAAGATTGGTGCCTTCTGGCCATGAACCTGGGCCTCCCTGATCTTGTTGCAAAGTACAATACAAATAATGGAACACAAAATTACTTTCTTTCAAGTCCAGTTCATGCCCTTCTGCAGGAATGGAGTAATGCACCTGAGAGTACTGTAGGTATCCTGATGTCTAAGCTGAGGGAATTAGGTCGCAGAGATGCAGCAGATTTTTTACTGAAGGCATCTTCTGTATTCAAAATTAATTTAGATGCTAACGGTCAAGAGGCTTATGCTTCCAGTTGCAACAGTGGCACATCTTATAACTCAATTAGCTCTGTAGTGTCACGGTAAGAGGAAGTGTTTTGCATGGACGTCCTTTTAAACTGGTGAAAGGATAAAAGATACAGTATAAGAGTTGCAATGCATACTAATTTATGAGATTTTACGTCAAAGGATCCTTCTCTAGTGCCACCGTTTATGTGCATAACCTTTCTGCTCCTAACTGTGAATTGTTGCTCTTTATTAAAAAGACTGTTGTACTTCTGGTGGTTTAAAACTATTCCTGATACAGAATGTGCTGCTTAATACTGCCATTTCAACTGGAAAGTCTTAACTTTTGGATTATATATTGCAACTGTTTTATATAATTCTCCCCATAAAAGGTAGGGGGAGAATAATAGCACATATTACCTTAAATGTGTATTTCTTACACCCTTTTTTTTCTTTTCACTGTGTCCCCTGCTTGAAATTTTTTAATATTTTTAAGGAGCAAAATCCACCATTTGTGATCAATCTGACCAAATTTAAGCGCATTGTTTTTAGCTGAAAAAGCGAGTGCCTTTTGCAGAAGGGAGGGTGCAGTTGATTTGAATGACCCTGCTGGAGTTACAAGAACATGCTACCTCTGTTTCACTTAAATTGTCTGCATGCTTATCATTGCAAGTGGTGCTTGCCTTTTAATTTTTCCTGCACTTCTGAGACATTGGTGATGACTCACACAGAGCATTCCTGTGCCAGTACTATGGGTATAGACATGTGATACCTAATCAAATTCAATTACAGTCAGATCATAATGTGAAAATCTCTTAAACTTGCCAAATTATCATGCTTCATTATTTCCATGCACCTCAGGTAAAAGTTCATATCATTACAGAGTTCAAAAAACACAAGTGTTGGATACTGCAGAATAATATTGTCTAGCTGTCAGTTGTAATTTGTGTATAACAAAGGTTTTCTACTATTAGATCCTGCGTTACTTACTTCCTGTACTTGAAAACTTTGATGGGGATAAAAAAAAAAGGAAGCAAGGTTTCTTGCAGTGATAACTTTAAAATTGATATGAGGGAATATGACCCATTCTCTGTTCTAAAAAGCATGTAATTTTCATGGTGCGATATGTGTTTGTTTATATATATTGTATGTACATACATTAAGACTATTTTTTCCTTAATCTTACAATGTAGTAAAATTTTAAAGGACTTTTCTACAAATAAAGTGTTGCTTGTTGCATCTTAGTTGATCATATTCTGTTGCTGAAGAGTACTGAACCTTCTTTTTTCCTTAGAGTCACAATTGTGGAGAGGCAGTGCCTGCCTTCTGAAGCTCTGGGAACCTCCTGTTTCACTTCAGAGGGATATCTTAGTACACTGCAGCAATATTTATTTATTTGTTAGCTGCAGAGGTGGTCCCCAGCCAGCATAGGGATTTGCATTCATTTTGACAAATGGCAAGGCAAAGCAGATTGGTACATAGCCTTTTTCTTTGTGTTTTTTTGCAAAGGAAACTAAAACAGCAGATGCGACATTGTCATCAGGAATCCTCCAGATTATGCTGTGCTGCAGAGGGAAAGAACACCGCATTAGAGCCTGTGCTGCAGTAATGGTCCTTTACATTAAAGATCCCCTCATCACACAAGGAACTGTGCTGGTGCTGCTTATTTAAACTCCCAGCATCACTCCCTGATAGCTGCACAGTCTCAATATGACACTTTATGCAGGCACAATACCTCTACCCTGTGTATGATGGAAAGAAATTAAGTGGGCCCTTCTTAAAATGCTAGTTGCTGTTTCCCGGTGCCTTTCTTTGCATATTATACCCTTGCTTTATTAAATACTTTTCTGGGTATCACTAGGCTCCTTAGTTAAACATTTTTTTGAAGTCTAGTCCTCAGTAAAAGGTATGGTTAATAAGAAGTCCTACCCTGAGGTGTCTGTGCTTTGATATTCTGCCTCTGACAAACTGCATTCGGTATCTTCCACTGCTGCTCAAAGTGGTTCTGGGCAGAGCCCAGCTCTATGCAGCCCATATTTGCCTGTCAATTTATGGCCACCACCATGCTTCCCCTTCCAGCTGTGGACATGTTCTGTACTTCTGTCAGATTCTGGTATGTGATGGGTTCTTCATGTCATAAAACTTTATACTTTTCAACCAGAAAAGCTTTCCTCCCCTGCCTCCTTCCCCATATGCTTTATGTGCACTCAAGATGCATGGTTGACTTACCAACACTGATTCATTACTTCTTTTACTTTTGTTTGTTTTACCCCTCCCAACAGCATGTTCCTGATAGTTCTCTGCTTTCATTTACTATAAAATGCAGCCCTGGGAGTATAAATGACTTAGTGGATGCTATGATGGATCTTTGACCAGCAGTAACAGCCTCTTGCATCATTTCCAGTTTTCATGGTAATTGGCTCAGGAAAGTGAGTCATAGTCATAGGATAGCTTTGGATTGCTTTGTTATAAATCCTGTGCCACAGACTAAAAAAAAATTTTGTTTCCTAAATTACAGTTAAATGAAAGAAAAGGCTGGCAACGTGATACAAATGGGCATCCCTTCAGTTGCTTCACTTTTATTGATTCTCGTTTTGTTTTGTGAATGCAGCTAGGAGCAGAGCTGCATTCCAGGACTGTGTTTAAAAAATACACTGATCGTCCCTGACTTACTCCAGAAACAGAGAAAATGCAGGTCTTTGCAAAATCAAAAAGTTTAGCCATAAATGTACAGAATGTATAGTTCATGCAAGGAAGATGCTAAGCTCAGCTCCTGACAGTGAAATAACTGAAGCTAGATACTTATCATTCTTGTAGCTTCAGAGCAGAGCTGCTGAAACACAACTTTGAGCATAAAGCAGATGAGGCCCAACTTTCATTTTGTCTTCAAAATCCATAATACAGACAAACTCAAGCTTGCAACACAGCTGCTCAAGGCCAAGGTGCATTACAGGTTGTCTTGCAGTTTAGAAATGTATTCTATTGACACCTGTACTCAAATTCTGAAGAAATTTTCTGAAGAAGATAGGGAGGGAGCAAGCATTTTGGTGCAAATCAGTTTTCCAGTGTTTTCTCCCTGGCATGCAGCAGCATGCATAGGATAGGAAAATATTGCTGTTTGTATTGGGTTTTACTTGTTGTATTGTCTCTGGGAGTTCTGCTGCTGACCAGACTGCTAAGTTTGGAAAGACACAAGAGATTGGTGGCAAATGATTTTGAGGGTGGGACAAGGGCATCCAGGGGTGGCCTTGGGTAGTGGTAGATATATACAATTCTTGTCACCTTAAAAGGGTGTAAACTGGAGACAGCCACAGATTTTAAGATCTTTGGGATTCAAGTGATTGAGAAAGAATTATGAGACTATGGTGATATAGAAACACCCAAATGTCAAGAGATTGACAGAACCAGGAGGCTTAGAAAGGAGCCAGAGCACAGTTTCCTAAAAGGTCAGGTCTTTACAGAGAGCAACAGTGAAGCTGTGCTGGAACCAGTTCCAGGTCCTAAACTCTGCTGTCTGCATTCCTCACTCTAAGGAGTTAATTCACAACCTTTTTATTGCAGAGATGCTGTGTTGCTACATCATTGTTTAAAACGGGTGCCTCAACTTGAATCACATCACTATTTCAGCTTTGCCAATGAGATGGAGGAGTAATCCCCAAGCTGTAACTCCAGAGAAAGTAAATGAAGCATGCTGCTGGCTGAAACCTCTCTTTAAGTCAGAGGAAATGGAGCAGTGCAGTACCTTCTTTGAAGGTGGCCTGAAAGCACTCTGCACAATATGAAAATTTATTTGTATTTGACTTTTTGTTGTTAAACTCATTCCAGCAGGTCACAAAAAACCACCAGGATCAGAAATTCACTCACCTTTCTTTTCAGTCATTGTCTGACTCAGAAGTCAAGGTAGTGGATAGAAAAGAGGAAGAAAATCAGTTTCTAACAGTGCCTAAGGTACTTGGTTTCCAAAAGGGTTACTGCCAAGCCATTCAGACTTTTCATGTAGAAGTGTTTGGATCTCCAAGAGTCAGATGAGCTGTATGTAGAAGAGTCTGTATATAGAAGAGTCTGTATATAGAAGATTGTGTTCCTCTGTGTAGCTATACCATTTATCATAACAAGCTCTACAGGAACAGTGGGACCAGCAGCTAATACTGCCTCAAATCCAGATGAAGATCTTGGTGGACTTGTTTCAGTTTTGCATCAGCCAAACTGACATAGCATTTCTGCACCAGCCAAAGTACTCTGGGTGAGGTCCAAACACAACACGTGCATATTTAAAGATTGTTCTTCAGAATGCTGCTGAGTCAGTTGTTTGTACCTTAAAAATCACAGGCCTGCCATGAGAAAGGGCAAACCTGGACCGTCTTGTCCAAACTCTGGGTCCTGCTGTCACCAAGCCTAGGACACCTACACTGCTAATATGCACTTGCATCACCTAGGCAGAGAGGAAGACTAAGATGTGGGCAGGGTAATAAGGGGTTTTGAACAGGAGTGAATGCATGGACACGCTGCATCTTACATGGATTTCTTGGCAAATAGATGCTGACAGCCTGGGCCCACACTTACTTCTGCAGAAATGTGTAACACCTGCTACAGTGGTGAAGACATTTCTGGTGTCTTTGTGTCGAGGCTCATGAATACACATTCTGTTTTATCTGCACAGGATCCAGAGTGCAGCTTGGTGAGGCATCTTCCTTGTGGGCTTGGGCTAGGTCACAGCTGAGTGTAACAAACTGGCAGAAGGTCTGGGCCTTATGTGTTGGAAATATAGTCAGGATGCTTCTGCTGCACCTCAGCAGATTAGAGGGGGAGGGAGGATTGGAATTTGCATGCTGTGTGAGACACCAGCATGTTATGCACAGGGAGGGCAGGGTAGAGTTGTGCTGTTCAAAACTTCTGTCAGGGAAACATGGGAAAGAGGGAAGGACTCTTGCATTAGGGGGGTTAGACTGCTGATGTTAAAAGATGGTGTGTGTATGACTCTTTGAGTCACCTTGTGCTTGACTTTTTGAGCTAAGCTGCTCACTGCATTGCAAACTCTGCTATTTTAGCCTGGCCATAAAGTATAATTTGATTAGTCTGTTTCTCCCTAAAGATGAATCAGTCTCACTTGCACACCCCCTATACAGGACTGCTTACAAGTCAAAATGTATGTAGCCATCAGTTAAGCAAAGGGAGTGCAAAGAGAAGGTCAGCAGCAAATCCTACTATCACTAAATTTGCCTAAAAAGGACTATAACTTTTAGCATTTAGCATATTTTTTTTAGTTGTTTCTATTGGTTGCAAATGTGAGAAAAAATATTCTGTGCAGTGTTGAGTGTAATCAATTATTGCTAAGCCAAAGCTTCTATTATTGGAAAAACAGAGAGTAAGGTCTGGAATTTTGTGCCAAAGGCAAGGTGTCAATGCATATGAAATCCAGTGCCAAGCCCAGGACAGAAGCAGATCCTACTTTCCTAAACCTATAGTGTGGATTATTTCATCATTCCTAAGGTATGTATCTGCAGAAGAAGCAGGAAAGATATTACTTTGGAGGCATTTTTCATTAAAGGCTTTGATAGCTAGGATTAGACTCTGATTTGGTTATACATAAGGAATTAACACCATCCTCTATAACTAGAACAATTTGAAAAAAATTTTCTGCAGACCCCTGGGACTGTGTTGGCAGCTGGAGAATGTTGTAGCAACTTAGCCTGGAAAACGTGGAAGGAGGTGAGTCACCATAACCAACTTAGCATCAGATAGGATGAGATAAATTTCCTCAGTTGTTCATGGTCAGAAGGAAATATCACTTGTAGCTGCTACACCTGGTAGTCAAGTGCCAGTAATGATTCTGGAGGAAGCTTAAGGCATGACCTGCAATATCAGTCTGATTATAGAGGTTTAGAAAGCAGCTGCATGAATATTTAAACTGATGGATTAACACAGTTTCTATGTATGTTTAAGGAACTGAATCAAGGCCCAGAGCTTGCAAGTGCTACTGGGAAAAGAAGGATTTCCATACCATTTTACCCCAGGTAATAAGACACAGCTGAGATGTGTTTTGCAAAGCACTTGTTGCTGCCTTCCCAGGAAAATATGAAACCTAATCTATTGCTGTCAATTTGGGTGTACAGGACAGATATAAAGACAGAACACAAAGTTAACCACATGACTTCCCATTTGCCATTCATTCTCCAAGACCCAGTGTTGGTTTGTACCTAGCAAAATAGAGTAACTTTCAGGAATGTTACAGTAAGAAGTACTTCCACAGTTGTGATTTAGCTCTTTGCAGTTATCCTATTTGTTACTTTCATAGCTAGAAAAGTGCTGTAGGAATTCCCATGGCCACCAAAGAAAAGCATATCAGGTGAGAAATTCTAGCTTGTTTTATACATTCTTCTTCAGCAAGGATATTTAGTTATTTAAACATTCCAGTCTTCTGTGCTGGTGCAGCAGTTTCACAGTTCCCTTATGGGACCCACCTTTCTGCTTTAAATTACTCGCTGCAGGGAAGAGTGCTACATCACTCATGGGAAATGCCATCTGTGGCACCTGGTGAGCCAGGGGTTGCATGGAAGAAGAGCAAATGGATGGGGTGCCTGTTGTTACTGGCCAGATAAAGACAATGGTCCCAGGGCCTCTCTCTGCCATCAGTTCAACCATGGTTCAAAATCCAACAAAATTCAGCTGTGCAGTGTGGATGTGATCTCTGAATTTCCTGTGGCTTTACCTGTGAATACGAAATACCACATTAGAGAGAACAGAGGTGCAACTGCTTTATGTTTTTCTTCATGGTGTTATTGACTTTAAGCAATCTTTCACATTCCACCAGTGAGCTCAGGAACAGACTTTGTAAGCCCAAAGGGATCTCACTAAACTCAGGTTTGACATTCATATGTAGCCGTGTAAAGCCCAATACCACTTCAGTAAGCAGTAAGGGGAACATTCTGCTTCTTTTAGTGTTCATTGTGCTCCATTTTTTCATTCCCAGAAGTGAAGCTGATTTCTGTAACAGTGCTGGAAACCACTTCTTTTCAGCAAATAGTTATCATCTTCATCTCTGATCCACATTGTTTTTAGGATGTGGCTTCAGTGATATCTCTAAAAGAAAAGTTTTCTCCAATAAAGAAACATGACCTTTGGCAGCAATTTTCTATAAGCTACTAATAGAGACTGCTGCTGACTGTTCACTTTGACTAGTAAGTGAAGTAATAATGCAAATTGTTTCTATTATTAGAAGAATTAGTTTCAAAATCTGATAGAAAAAACCTCCTTTAATCCACTATCAATCTGGAGCCACAACTCCTTGTTACACATCTACATAGTGACTGCCACAGCAGGCACATGACTTGGGTGTGGTTTTGAATAACAGATAGAAGTGAATGAAGACTACCTTCCCGAACAGGTCTTTAGAGTCTTGTGGATCCATGCATACACAGTAAGCATGAAGCTTATGGTTCTTTTACAGTGGTTAGACCTACAAGGACCATTTACGCCGCTACAACCTTATTCTTAATATCCAACAGGTCCAGAGCCACATTTTGCATAAGCTGAAGCCAATTTCCTGTTGTAACTTGGAGGAACTGTCCTGCAGACCTAGTCTGAGTCCTACTCAAGGGCTTACATTTCTCTGCCTATCCTTTTACTCCTGTTATCTGCCCACAACACTACATGTTTATCCAGCTGAGGTTAACCTCAGAAAGTAAAGTGTGCAAACAATGCTAATGACAATTTTGGGAAGCAGTAACGTCATGCAAATATAGTCATTTCTGATGGGACAAAAAGGTGTTTGTATCTTCTTTCTACAACTTCCACTTTTAAAACTTATCTGCCAAGTAAATTCAATTGTCTTTTTCAAATCTAGAAAATGTAATGAAGTATGGAAAGCTTGTAGTGTAAGTGATTTAGGACTAAGAAATTCAGCTGGAATTGCTCATTGGAAACATTGTCCAAGAGCACTCACTCTCTGTGTGACTGTGTGACTTCTGCCTTCTCTGCTGATAGAAGTGTTTCCTGTATCTGCCCAGCAGAAGACTCCCTACTGTGGACCAGAGGGTGCTTCCCAACACTTAAAAATCCCAACAGGAGACATACTATATCATATTTGTAATTCAGGCAGGGCCTCCATTAGCATGACCAACAACAGGGATTTCTTGAGTGCTCTGCTGACATCACGCAGGGTGTGGTGCAAGGTTATTAAACTGCCTCTGCCACTTAGTTTTCATCTGACACATGCTTAATTGTGAGGATGTCCTTCCTCCTATTAGTGTTTGAATCAGTCCCACTGTTGATGAGAGATGTTGTCCAAATCATGTTATATAGTAAAAAGTATTTAAAGCCACAGCCATAATATTATGGTAGACACAAGTTCAGATGACATGTTGACATGTTCTCTCCTCACATTTCCCATCATTAGCCATGGATGGCACTGTCTTATTGCTGATGGGCAGAGATGCAGTAGTTGACATGGGACGGTGGCCTGGACACCACTGTGGAGAAAGGAGGGCTGCAGCATAGCTATAAGTGAGAGAGGGACTTTATTCAATGTTCTCTGTCATCTCCTGCTATTTCTGTTAATTAAATGAAAGGAGATTGGTGATGAAGGTAGAATGGGAATGTGAAAAAGAAGGAAATGTGTGAAACGAGTGGCTTCTTGACCTTGTTTAATGGTTGGGGATGTTATACACTAGTAACTGTTGATCAAAGGTGCAGTGTTCAGATACCAAAGACTGAAATTAGAGTCTCGGGTCAAAAAAATGTTGATGTTCTTGCACAAGGAACAAATTTCATAAGCTATGTGGCTTTGCTATATCATAAATAGCTATAGTCCTTCCTTTCAGCTTTTAGTCCATCAGGGCACCAAATTGCAGTAACAGTTTCAAATCAGGGAAGCTCCTCCTAACCTCTGCTCCCTGAAGCCTACTTGTGAGTGCCAACTCCAAGGAGCCAGGTAAATAAAGCACCTTGGTGAGTGGGAATGGAATAATTAAGTGTTAAAATAACCAGACTGGAAAACACTTTGATGGCATTCACCTTTGCAAAACATCTACACTGTAGGGAGCAGAGGCAGTTTTAAATGGCAGCTGGAGGCAATGACAAGTTCTCTTTATTACTCCCCATGATGCAGACGGGGTCCTGAGAGAGGAAGGCCCTGGTTCATCCACAGTCCTGGTAAACAAGGCACATGGAAAATAAGATAAACCATTCTTTCTAAAGCCAACCCATGTTCTGGTATGGGTTCCTGGAGAGCTCTGTACCTCCTGTTCTGTCAGAGTCCCTTTACATTAATTCCAAGAGGGAGTGTAATTCTCCCTACAGCTTAGTAAGTGCTGTGTTCAGCTTTATCTAAGCTCTCTTTTAAAAGAAGCACTGTTAGAGGTTAGTGGGAAACGGTAAACAAAAATAAGCATGCAGCAGCTAACGTAATTACATGTTTCGGGCAGAGAGGAGCAGGTGCTTTTCTGGATGATAGCCACAGTTCAAAGCCTTAGTCCATCTGTTTTGTTGGGAGACTGCTGGCAGCTGATCAACAAATCTGACCAATGCTGACAACTCTTATTTGGAGAGTAGCTGGCATGTGAGAGTGCATTTATGTTTGTAACTACAGTCAGGACAGCTAACAGGGTTAGGTACTCAATTGCAGCAACTTCTGCGTTTTTTATGTTTTGCTTTTTCTATTTTTTATTTTTACTTTAGTCCAGAATATTTTGGCAAAAATGGAAAGAGATAAACAGAAATTATATATGTGTATGTAAGTGTAGGTGTATGTGATTCTGGCTGGTGTGAACCTCTGCTTGGCTTGACACAGAAGAGTCTTTAACCAAATTCTGCCATATCTCAGGTTAGCGCTCTAGTCTCAACACTAAGTTTTGATGGTTCATTTTTCCCAAGTATTTTTCACTAATTTAAAGCTGTGTAGCACTAAAAGGGGGGAGACCTGTCCTCTCCACCTTTGCTTTGCAGACTTTTGGGCTCACACTAGTACCTGGCATGTTCAGCCAGTTCAGCTCACTAATCCAGAAAGAACCTGTCACTTGGCTTTGAAGGCTTTGTCTGCAGCCCAATCAGCTTGCTTCCACAGCTTAGAGAAGAAATGAGAAGTGACAGGAGAGGGAAGGGCCAGAATGTCTTTTTTCAGCAGTAATGCTGGTTCAAAACAGCTAAACTGCTTCGTAAACCACACACATAAATAGTTTCAAACTCTGTAAATGTTTGAGTTCAATATTTGTTTTAGCTAAAAACATTTCCGTAAGCTCTGGTAAAACTCTGTCTAGGTGTCAGTGGCCCTTAGCAGGAACTAAAACAGTTCTCTACCTGCTTATAGGGAAACAGCAGCTATCCCAAACCCAAAAACACTGGCAAATGTGAGCTGGGAGAGCCTGTACCCTGGGGAATGTTTAACCAGGAAGGCAAGCCCTGAGCACCAAGTACCTCTGCTCTGCTGTGGAGGAAAGGGCAGCATGACAAATGCACCACTGTGGTATTGACCTCTCCTGACTCAGGACCCTCTCTCTTCAGTACTGGGTTACTCCAGTTAGCAAATGGAGGAATGACATCCATTGGTCTTTCCTTCTCTTCTCAAGCTCCCTGGATACAGCTAATTCTGGTCCATCTGGTGATAATACAGCGTTAGTACTGAAGCAAGGAAAAGGAAGTTTGCTGTCCTCCTGCCTGTGCCACAGGATTCCTGTGGCACTGCTAAAGTCACAGAATCCATCCTTGACTCAGCCCTCTGGTGTGCAGGCAGATAATAGTCCTACCCTGCCTGTGAGGGTTGGGCCGCAGCTCAGCACAGGGAGTGTTTCTAAAACTGGTTCAAGTCTCAGTGCTGCAGGAGCTCTCATCCTTCAAGCAACCATTACTTTTGCTAAACTCCTGAGAGCTGTACAGGGTCTGATGTGTTCCTGCAGCACTATGACAGATGTGGACCATACCACCTCGCCTCAACAGGACCTAGGCTTTACATACTGCAACAAAACAAGCACTGGGAGGAGAGAGGCTAGCTGGAAATGAGGATGGAAAAGCACAGAACATGAAGAAGAAATATGGTATTACTCACCATTAAACATTTTTGAGCAAAACTCATCTGTGTGTCATCTGACCCCTTTCATCTCTTTCATTGTACTCACTGGATATTTTTAGTCTATTGGCGTTTGGACTTGTTGCTTTCCTTTCAGTTTGAAAAGAAGGGGAAAAAAATCCCTGATTTTACAGATATGCAGCAGCTGCTGCAAATGTTGCTTCCTAAACCAACATAATAAGCAAATTTAATTTAAATTCAAAGTTCTGTTACAAAGCAAGTCTCAGTTTTCCATTTCTTGCACACCAAATACCACTGGTGGTTTCAAGACCTGAATCTAGATCACTATGACTGGGAAAGCATTAAAAAAACAAGCCAACAAATCATACTGTTTCTGTAAGTGAATCAGAAAGCATTTTCCCTAGTATTTTAACAAATCCTACGAATTTAAAGGATTCTCTGTAATCCTGCATATGAAGAACAGTCTTCATTTAATCTGCTCACTCTGCACCCTCAAAGCAGCAGAATTGCCATGCTGTGGCTGACACATGGCCCAGGTTGTTTGCAGGGGCCATTCTCCAGGGCAAGCCTTCCCAAGAAGGCACGTTTGCATTGACTTAGAAGAGAGAAAATCAGCTTTATTGTCTGAAATGGAAAGGAAAAGAAACAAAAATTCCTCCGAGTGGAAAATTAAAGACAGGTGAGAAGGGCAAAACATGAGTGAGCAAATTTCCCAAAATAAACAGTTCTTCCAGGTTTTTGGATAGGCATTTGTGTATTTGAACAACTGTTTTATTCTTATTTCCCCTCTCCCCCCTAAGTGTTTGAAGGTGTTTTCTTTAAACTGTTCCAAACTAACTCTAGTAGTTAAGTACTGGGAAAAACCAAAAGAACATGTGTAGTGCTAAGCAGAGGAGTCTTCCAACCAGTCTGTTTGAAGACTCTTCCCTGCACTTTCAAGTATTTTTTGCCCTTGTAGGAAAAAAACACTGAGTACCTTTGAGGACTGAACTGAGAAGTCTGAATGTTGAAGATTTTGTTGGAAGCAAAGATCTTCTCAGAGGAAATAATCTGTAGACACTTTCTTTCCTGATCTCATTTTCTTCTGCTAACATGGCCAGTAAGCCAGGCATTTTCACTGGTTAGGTATTAGTGATATTATTAGGGCAGGAGTGGGAGTGCAGTCCCATATTCTGAACCCTAGTTTCTGTAAAGTAACAGGAACCTGACTTTTTGATTCCCCAAGGAGAGCTGTTTTTGCAGTGTTACCACATGCAGCTCCCACTGGTAGCTACTGGAATTTGATGAGTTTCTAAAGGCTCCCTTCCAACATCATCAACAACCAGGCATACAAAGCAGTGACCACCTCTGACCTCTTCCTGGCTGTAGCGGTTTGTTTATCAGTAGTGCTGAGAGAATAACATGCATGTCTGTCTGCAAGGATTCCTGTAAGGAGGCTGCTAGTAGCTGCCTGGAGCCTACAGACAGAGACAGATGTTGTCGCCCGACAATCTAGCAGATAAGACAGTTCAGCCTTGTCATCAAGGAAGAGTGGAAGGCAGCATAAGGGACCTTCTGAGGGCATCCTCAGAGCTCTAATGTGGTCAGATATATGCCAGCTGAGTTTCTTGTAATTGCAATGGTCACATAAAAAAGAAGAGGAAGTGCAAGTGCATACAGAGAGAGAAACAACTGTGTGAACCCTTGTCCGCTGAGAGTCAGTTACAAGCAACTGGCAGTGGAAAGATGCTTCCAGACACCCCTTACACAAGTCCTATTTTAAGTTAATGCAGAACCAGAGCCAAGAGCGGCTTTAATGCTTGCTTTCTCATCATTAAATGTTAGAATAGAATTTGCTGCTGCTTCTATCCTAAAAGCCATCCACACTAAAACTGCAGGTGCTGCACTTTGGAATGAATCATAGCGTAAATATTGCCACAGTCACTGCTCGTCACAAACAGGTTTATTTCAAAATGACCATTGCAACATTCATCCTTTGTTTGGCTGTTTTACAATTCTTCCTCGACTCTTGTCAGCACACTTGCTGTTTGGAGGTAAGATGGTCTTGTTTTGTCCCCTGTCACTCTTGGAGGTACAATCTGTACAAGTCACCCAAGAAAGGAGGTGAGGGCTCTTTCACACAGTTATTTTTTTTCTCAATATATCCAGATATCTATTACATCCAGTTTCCTGCACAACCTGCATGTGATGCATTCTGGTAAAATAAGGGGAGATGTCTGGTGCTGGGAGACACTGGAGTGCACTGCTTCACTGACTTAAGTCTCTGCCTGGGGACACGGTATTGCACAATCACCAACCTGTATAGCACAACTCTGACCCCCAACTTCTCCCCTCACTGACCTCCTGTCAGTCTGCACAGGGGCTTCTGTAGAGATACAAAGGGTATTGCAACAGGAGGGGTACATCTCATTAGAGGACCTTCAGCCATCCCACTGTCCCTTTGCAACACTGTGCCTTCAGGCTATCTGTCAGCCAGGGTAAGAATCCAGTAAACAAGAGCGCAAATTGAAAAACAACGTTGTGACCTATTTAATGGGGAAAAGACTATGTGGACCCAAGCTACTGGCAAAACTTGTTTCATTGCTGTAGCTGCTAGCCAAGTAAGTCATGCGTGGACACATGCATTTGAAGTCACCGTGCTAGTGGGGCTCCTGCTTCTCACATTTAAACCTCTCTGGAAATGCACGGTTGGACGGAAATTTATCTAGGCACATGCTACTTCTGCTACAGCAACAAGAGTCTGAGAGTTGTGTCATCTTTCAAAGGGAAAGCATAATGCCTTTCTTGGTCAAGCACTGAGTGCCACATTGATATGGTTTGAAGCTGGCTCCCTGCCAAGTCTCCAAACCTCACCACAAGAAGTCCCCCCCCCAAAAAACCTCAGGGAGAAGAGGGAGAAAACAACCAAGAAAACCAAAATGAGAGAGACAGCTAAAGCAATATATATAAATATATTTACACTTATATTACAGTTATATACAATTGAAATATATATACAATTTCACAAGGGAAAGGGAAGGGGGAAGGGAAAAGGAACAAAACCAAAATAAAATATATATATATATATATCCTGATTAGTAGCCCAATATCTAGCAACTAAAAGAACTGGCAAAAAAACCTATCTTACTACTCTCCTTGGGACAACGGAGAGTCACGCTGGAACGATCGCCAGCAACCTCCACCTCCCAAGGTCGACAAGGCCTTACCAGGCCTCGCTCCCCAACACAGCAGACTCAACAGCAGGGAACCTGCACCTCCAAGCCACCAGAAGGAAAGAGAGCGAAGGCCTCTCCTCCTTTCTTCTTATAGTCTTGCTTACGTAAAAATCGTAGGGAATACTGGGTAAATCTGGGCCCTTCCTTGGTTACAAACTGGTCACCAAGGAAGGCCTAGACCAAACTACCACACATGTCCATCCATATTTGTGGTGCGTGAATTTAACCCTTTCTGACCAGACTCCATAATGAAGGCGGCTCTACAGAGACTGTCCTCCACAACATTTTCTGCCTCATGTTTTCAGTTACCTCCTCCATGTAGATAGGTAGCTGGACAACAATTTGAAAAGAAGGAAAACAAAAGTTTTCAGGTATGTTTAGAGCATAGGAAATGACTTTTTAGTCAAAAGGAGAGTGGGATGTGGAAAAAACCAAACACATCTATTCCAGTCTGAGGAAACTCAGAAGAAATCAAGTTATTCCAGTGACAAAAGAAAACTCTACAGAGACTGTAGGACAAGCAAGCATACAAAGCAAATTTTTCACTGTCTTCAGAACTGGGACGGCTGGACGTTCCTGCCAGTGGCACCTACAGAAATGGGAAAGTGCTCTATTTTTAAAATGTGTATTAAATAATGGATTCCTCATGCAGTATGTTGACCTTTAGTGATGATTCTTTCAGAATCTGTCAGACTACAGTAAAGACACAGAGGTAGCTGTGGGATCTTCTGCAAGCAAATGAGAAAACCAGCTGTGGAGACAGGTGTCCAACATGGATGGCAGAAAAAGTAGTGGAAGGGCAGAACCAATGAATTTTCATTATTGTTGGAACTCTGTTTTGTCTCCTGTTCATTCTTTCCTCTCCATATCTCTTCCCAACCCCACTGAGCAAAAGAGAGCTGCTCCAGTCTGGAGCTGTAGATGCTCAAATGGGGGAACACTGCAGTGTAGATGCCAAGCACATTTTGTGGCAGTTCTGGTCTCCCTGGTTTTTCTCCAGCAGAGGCTCTGGTTTGGTTTTCTTCTCTCCTATCAAACTGCTGCCTTCCAGGCAAGTTGGAGACTTCTCCCTTTCACACCTGACTTGCAATGGCCAATGTCCTCAAAAGATATAGGAGGAAAATAGACACATGGATGATATGACACATGCCCTAGGTGTCATATTCTTCAGGGAAGAAAAACAAAGAGAAGATACTGATAGTCTGACTAAGGAGTGGGACAGGGCAAGTGTAAATCTCACCATTTATTTTGCATTGCCTACCTAGCAAAACTTTTACTTCCACACTTTTATCTCAGCCTATGAAAGGATGCACAATAACATTGTGTATGCTTCACTATGATTCATGTGAAATTTGAGTATATTCCAATTTCCATAACAGCAATATGGAAAAAACTAGTTCTGCTGAATTTCTGCTCGCACTCCCTGTTTATTAAAAGTCCCTGCTTTGTGGCACACTCAGCAATTTAGTGAGAAAACACTGGGGTTAACTTCAAAAACCTGTTTGAGAAATGTGAGGTAACCCTGGTGGTTCCCAGAACCAGTGGGAGGGAGGAACAAAGTGGAAACACAGAGGAAAACAACAGGCAACAGGCACATGAATTATGCAGATACACAACTGCAAGTACATAACTGAAGGAAAGGATAAGGTTGTCCAGAGACTTGAGGATAAAACTGTTCCTGTATGATATATCTCACCTGCTTAGCATTCATAGAGCCACAGCCCGACTATCTGCAGTCTTATCAGAAAAAAAAACAAACCCACTGCACTCTGCAGCTGAGTTTCCGTGAATGTACCTTTGCTCTAGTATGTGAGAACAAATAACCAGCATCCTCTTGAATTCCTCTGCTTGAGGAGGAGAACAGCAACAAGTCAGACAAGACCTCATTGGGTCATAGACTGTTTCTTTCTCCTCTGAGCCTGTAGTGAATTCAAGATGCAGAAACTACATCTGAGTGAATGAATTACAAAGCCAGCTGATGAATTCTTGTTGTCTTTCGAGTGTTTTGCATAAAACAAATGGTTCAGGGCCTTTTCAAAGAATGTACTAACAATTTATCTTAAAAAAAGGGGGGGAAAAAAGTCAACTTGAGAACTGGCTTTTATCTTCTGCCCCTAAAGTTTAGGCAGTGCTGCAGTGACACATATGCTGATTTGTCAGCCCAAGGAATTTGTCTCCGCAACCAGGCTTTAGCTAGGAAAATATGTAGAAAATACTCCTGACAGCTGTGTGAGGGTTTTATGGAGACGCTAGTCCTGAATTATTTTCAGGACTGATCCCCTACTCTCTCACAGGACTTAATTAACAAAGCATCGTTAGTTAACGTTGGTGGAAGAGGAAGGTATTCAATCAGTGCAAAGCATTACCTTTTCTAGTGATACCATTACAATGAGGTATTTTATTATCTCCTTTTTATTTTGTTTTGATTATCTTCAATCAAGAGCTAGCTGAAAACATACAATGTGCATTAACACAATATCTAGGGTGGCTGCTGACATCTGCTTTTCTCGAAAGCTAGTGATAAGGTAATGACACTTAATGAAATCAAATTTTATAGAGTGAATGGTCGTGCTGGAAAAGCTTGTGGACAGGAAAGAGGAAGAGATTATTTCTGCTCCTTTTTGCTTTGAAGAATTTGAGGCATAAAAGTGCATTATAAAGGCCTATGAACTGACTTGATGGGTGGAAAAGTTAGGGAAAATGTTAAAAAATCCCATATATTCTGCTTAAGCCAACTGTCAGTCACTTCCGGCAACTCTGCCTTTGTCTTCATTTTCACCCTGCATGAGGAGCCATCAGCACACAACCTTTGTCATATGAGAAAAGGTTAAGAGTAAGACCACTGGCGGCAGAGGAGACTGTGGCTGAGGAAATGGACTTTCACCTCAATGAGGTTACCACGGGAGGAGCAAACAACCTTGGTGGCACTGGATTTGACAGGATCATCAGCAAGGCACAAAATTTGCCCCAAGTCCAGGTTAAAAGGGCATGCTACAGCCAGAACTAAAACATGCAGAGATCCATGCTAGCCATTCTGCTATCATTTAAAAACATGTTTGTATCAATTCCAGTTTGCAAAGCTAATATGAAAAGCCAGACAGTTATCTGAGTCAGAATTTTCTAAACTGATTTAATGTTTCCAGTCCCCTTCAGACAAACAAGGCAACCAAAGACTTGAATACTGGGCAATCAGCAATGTTTTACATGTAGTTTTTAACTGTAGCCAAATACAGAAAGAAGTATGGGCCAGTCCCAGCTGGATTTTGCCACTTCTGCTTGGCTTGTCTTTCAGTGAGAAGTAGAGGAGGAGAAAACAAATTTCTCTATGGTATTGGGAATCTTACAAGCCAGCTCAACCAAGTCTAATCCAGTATTTGATTAGAGAATTCTGTAGTTTTAGTTTTAACTTCTGCTTCAAGGGGAGAAATTTTTAATACTATTATGAAGGACCATTTTAATTTAAACGATCACAGTATACTAAATGCAGAACATCACTAAAGTATATTTTTCCATTAATAATTTACTATTCTTTCTAGGCATTTTGATTTAAAATCTGTGAATGGTTTAGGACAGTACAAATTCAGTCTATCAAAGAACAGATGAAACAATGTGTGTGAACTTATATTTGAGTTATGGATATATTATTTCATTAAACAATTCCTGGTAACACAAAAAACCCCCACACTACAAAGCCAATTCCAAAAATACTCTTCTTCCAGGAAAAATGAATAATTATAAAAAATATTTTAATATTTACATTGATATTTGCCACTGTACATATAGTCAAAATAGTCACAAAATAAGGTCTTATAGGTAAACTCTAGACTTCTAGTGTGTTGATTCTTTTGTATGTTTCTTCCTTTCTTCCTCCTTTTCTTTCTTTCTCTCTGTCTTCATCATAGTATTTGGAGATTAACATTTTGCGGACAGACTGTGAATGTACCTAGTTCCAGATCCAAGTACTAGGACTGAGGGCCACTGAAAATTTGCATTGAAACATGCAGCAAGGAAAGCCTCTGTCAGCCGACATTGGTAGCTAGAGCAGACTGTGTTCACCCTGGCAAACTAATTCTCCTAGTGCATTCTCCTGACACATCTGCCAGCAGTTCCTGTGCCACCCCCCCACCCCAGAGGGGCTTCCCTAGCTTTTGCCAATTAAAGAGAACTTAAACATAGCCTCTGTTTTGAACAGTTTTGAACAGTTGAACACAAAATCCTTTAAAAAAAGTCAGCTAGGGGAGAGGAAGCAGCCAGTGCTGTGTTTGAATTGCAGTGTGTGCTCAACTGTCTGCCCTTTATGCTAATGGAAGGGTTTGGAACCACTATCAGGAGGCAAGAGAGCAGAAGGCAATCCAGGTACACAGCATCCAGACAGCCTCTGAACAAAGGGGTGTCATGAAACACCTTTCCAGCCATGGGCAAAGACCAAATTTTTGCATTAAATCATGGATATTGTAGGTAGTGAGTTGGTTGCAAGCCAGTGTGTAAAACAGCTTACTTGGCTCATACTCAAGTCTTACTTTGAGTGATATAGCTCAGGGATGGAGGAATCTGCAACTAAAGGACTCTGAGATGGGAATAGTGAGGCTTGGCTTGAGCAGGTCTGACTATTAGGCAGCTGAGCCACAGTCCAGAACAGCTGTATGGTACTGTAGGCACGACAGTGACCACCCCATGCCAGCGCACTTTTCTAGTAATGCATGACCACACACCAAGCAATAGCCTGTTAAGAACAGAGGAAGACTCTGGTGACAAGATGAGAAGTGATCGTATAAATGTTGTGTCAGTCACTCACTGTGCTTTTCTACAAGCCCAAGGGCAAGGTCTAGTGAAATCCCTGTGGATGTTTCTCTATGGAGCAAGAGGAAATTGCAAAGGCTTAAATATAGCTGTTCATAGACAAGTCAGAGAAGCAGCGTTCAGCTGTCAGCTCTGCAGCTGCTGCACTATGTATGGCCTTGTCATGGAACCATCAAATCACTGCTGAGATGTGAAACAGTTTCCTAAAATATCTTGTTTCATGCTGGCCACTAACTGAAACAGCTTCATCTTACATCCAGATGAATGCCCTCTTGCACACACTCACTTACAGTGGCTCATGGAGAACCATCACAGAAGTCCTTTACCTTTGCTGTACTGCCCTGAAGCTTGGGGTGTACATTTAGGATGCTTCACAGGTTGAGGGTGATCAAAGAAAGAGAGATCAAAAGAAACTCTGCTCTCTTGATAGTGAGAAGATTCAAATCAAGCAGGTCCTTGGTGGTCAGAAAGACTTGGTGTAGTGTGTGTCTGCCACAGTGACTAAGCAGTTATTAAAATATTTGAAATTATTATGTAAATCTGATAGCAGTTGCCAGCATCCTGGGGGTCAATGGGCTGAGAATGCTTCTACTGAATCTCAGAGACTGGCAGATGTGCTTTCACTGATTTATACAATGTGTTCGCATTCCGCAAACTAGGTAATCCTTCCATTTATTTGATTAGCAGAAATAGGAAAAAAGATGAATTATGATTTAACAAGGCTAATCTCAGTGTTGAAGAGCCTAGAGTTATCTCTCCATAGGTCATTCATTTGATTTCAGTGGCCACAACAGCATGGTACTGCTCCTTTTTTCCTCAGTCCTGTTGTTTGTGAAGTAGGAATGACAGCAGTTGTGAGTCACCACTGCTCTTACCCCAAAAGCAGATGCACTCATT